GGCGTTAGCTGTCCAATGAAGTGCGAAGACTTCTCCCACCGTCGAGAGGAAGCCCCAGGTACCCCGCTGCTAAGTCCATCTAGCAGGGGGTTTTGACCGGTAAACTGCCCCTCACCGTGTTTATTTGCTTGAGTGACCTCTCCAGGGACGGGTGTGGATAGATGAAGGAGGTTAGGAGGTGCCCAAGTAGCTGGCTTTGTGAGACTGAGCTTTGTCAGGCCTCTAACCGTTGACCTTTCAGGCATGATTGGATCTACGGCTGTGAGAAGCTATCCTGTGTAACTCGCAGGGTCACTGAAGCATGCAAATCATCACATCACGTCAAGGTGCAGTCTCGTCGCCGAGGTGGACATTCTCACGACCATGCATCTGGTCAAGAAAGCTTGGGTGTTTGTGCACTGAACGTCCTGATCGATAACCACCGTCGCGCGGACGCCCCTGTGTGAATGAATGAACGATACTCTCACATGGCCTACAGAACCGATGAAATTAGACAGGTCACTTGCCAAAGGTCGGAAAGGTCACCGCAACAAGAGACCTGGCGCTTGCCCACCTAACCCGAGCGAGAAACCACACCTTGTCTACAACCGCCAGTCTTTAGCAGACTCAGTGAACTGCGGTTGTACAGCAGGCGTAGCTTCATCACACGCATGGATTACACGTGACAACAAAACCATCACAAAAAGCACAAAGCAATGCGAAATGATGGAGTTATCGGACTATCGTACCATCCATATAGCAACACGATGTCTTAAATTGACACTCAGACATCTAAACTTGAAAAAGGTATGATATATGAATCACGTTATGCCATCGCTTGGTGAACTTAATCTGACCAACAACGGTCATGATGAATGCATCAATCGGTTTGAACATACACTAGTGACAACAAAAACGAAAAAACGAATAGGTGTCTACGGGCGGTAATGGTACACATTTTTCACTAGAAAATCATGAATAGATCACATAGCGTACAATCTGTTTGGATATGGGAAGAAAGTCAATGTTCTGAGTATACCACGTAACAGATATTTCAATCATTCTCACCAAACTGGTTCAAATTAGTTTTCCTTGGATGGGTTAACACTGATGCGATTATTATAGCTAAAACAGTTGTTTATTATGGTGGACGTCATATAATCAGTTCTGTGGTTAGCCTAACATTGCAACGGAATGGAGGAATATCTGGAACTAATATGGGATGGTTGGGTGAGAAAAAGTTCCCTTGAAGAAAGGTAGGTAGTTTCGGGATAACTAAACACAGAACTGAATACCGCATGGAATGTACCAATAGTGAGCCGAGGTTGCCATAAAAGATTTCAATTTCTTCGATACAGAAAAGATACGCAGGCCGGTAGATCTAAATTCCGTTATAGATAAAAATTTTATAATTACACATTTTTGGGACAACTAACGGGATTAACCTACTCTTCATCGATCCGGTTTATTTTGTCATAGCACTGTCAACCGACTTTTATACTACTCGTGTTTACCCTACTATGTCGCAGTTCCTGAAATTTACCCACTTTTTCTAATTTCCGAGGGGTGCGACATAGCAGGAGATTGACCATACAAATCAAACCGGGCCAACCGTTTTGGACAAGTTTCCAGGTCAAAATCGAGCGCCGAGTGACATACGACCTTCAAAATACGACAATTAATTACTTTACGTCAAGAACGATGCGACGAATTTCCAAGCAACTGAGACTAAACACCCTACGTGTAGACATTCAACGGCTCCTAGGTGTACTCCTGTAGAGCTAATAGCCCCTCCTTCAGAATTATTTGTTCCGAGGCAGACTGATTTTCGAACTGAGCCTCAATCTTAAACGAGAACAACGTTATTTCTATTGACAATCCTGTACAAAGACGATTCGTCGGTTCCCCTACAGTAATAAGTGTTACAGGATATGCTTAGGTGAGCCTATTAGCGATGCGGGCAATCCGGTTATTTCACTGAGTGGTTGGAAATATTCGTCAGTGATAATGTTTTATCCGGAAATCTGTGTTCGTTGCTGTGTACGCTTAGATAAAGTAAGATGACCTGTGACACCTGTGGTGTGGGCTAATGCAATTGCTGAATGTCGCAGAGATCAGCTAAGTAACGCAGCATTCGCATCACGTATAATTACTCATAGTGTTCGAACGACCAAAGAGAACGATAAACCTGGCTCCTGGTGATAAATTTAAGGTAACTGATTACCATAAAAAAGAAGTCCGTGAAAGGAATAACATCACGATTTGGTGTAAGGAGCGTAAGAAACCAAAAAGTTATGCAAACAATAATCCTACATCAAAAATAGTTAAGAGTAAGGAACTGGAAGTGTGTGGTAGGTGTAGAGATATTAGCATCAGAATGTAATAGACGAGCGCATAAAGTTCTCAGCAAGGCGTGTAACTGAAGCTGGGCAAGTATTGGAAATAGACAGTAGATTTTTTTTCTATTTTACAGGGAAAGTCCTGCTGAAACTGTTAATGAAAAATTGTTCGCATATCATTTCAAGTGCAAGAACTACCAACATTTTGACAAGTTACAGTATTCTTGCTCTGAACACATTTCATGCTTTTTCCGATCAATCTGCGTATAAGTTATCCGAACCGAACTATTCCATTTCACTCGATCCCACTCATTCGTTGTCAGGGTGAACCGTACTTGGAAAAAATGGCTCACGACAGAAGTAATCTGCAATACCATCTGCATATGTTTCGTACCGAGATTCACACAAAGATTCAAAATGTGACGGGTAGTGAACTGGACATTTTTTCTATCTGAATAAATGACCGCATTCCCAGCCGGATTCCAGGTACCCATGCCACGAATTGTGCTCCTCAATCCTGTTGATTAACAGTCCATAACATTATTAATTTGTGATAATTCAAATTCGCTTTTTCTTCCCATTCAGAAAGACGATCAAACTGGAACTGGATTGATTCAGCTCCAACTTTCGCTATAAAATGTTCGACAACAAATAGAGAGTAAAAAATTGATGCTATCAGTGTTTCAACACTGTTACATGGCACGAGTTTACTGGTTCGATAGGATTAGAGATAACCAAGTCAGGTGACGAGTATATGTAATCGAGGAAACCCATTGGCTTAAGTACTTGATCTTCATAGGCTTTCATGCCATATTTTTTGAGCTGGTTGTAGGTAGAAGAATAAAAAGTTTTTTTACTTCCTTTCACTGAATACACAGTTGTACAACATTCGGAAAGCTGGAGCCGTTCCGGGCGCTCCCTGGGAGTAAACAGAAGTAGAAAGTCTGTCACACTGACCGTATTAGGCTGTATGGCCACATTATCAATGGTTAGAGACAACGAGTGATATGTTTGTGTTGTAACAGTGACGGCAGTGCATCTATTACCTCCGCGTTAAAGGCGAAAAATTTCAGGTACGACGATGGGATTCGAACCCAAGCATCCCATACTTTTGTGCAGCGCACGCTCCACCAGCCAAGCTACTAGGACACGCCGATAGCATTAACCTTTTAACATTTGGAGCACACATCCAAGTTGCAGAGCGAACAAAACTGTTGCACGACAGTGCAAGAATAATGGTTATGGAAACTGGATCTCTGTATCAATCGACAAAGGGATAAACAACAAATGGGTGTTTCATGCGATGCAGTGCATGAATGGGTGACTTTCGACTTCTCTGATCCAATCTATGATGAAAGAACATCAGTTGGCTGTATCAGGAAACCTAGTGACTCAGGTGAACCGATCACAATATTTCAATTAACCAGCGCTATTGATAGTTTGCATGCCTCTTCCAGGTGACGTATACATATAGCCATCCTAGTAAAATTGGCTGGTACAGTGACAATGCGTGCGACGGTTCGGGAATTCGAACCCTGAACGGGCCGGCTAATGTGAACCACTGATGAGCTGCAAGAAGGACGAAACTTATAGTTGTTCGGATCAATTGAAGATTGTGCTTGAAAATTCGCCCAACCAGGTTCACAAACCTACTGCGAAATTGACTTGTAGATAGACTCTGACCGATGGTCAGTCAAAATTCATGGCGTTGGCATCATACATATACATATATCTTTCTAAGACTGTTGTGAAAAAGCTTTAATAAATAGATTCCGTGTAGCTCTTGTAGGCTTGGCACATCTCTGTTAAAAACAACCCCAAACGAAATATTACCAACACTAATTGATTTTTTGGAATGCAGCTGGCCGACGTGTATCTGCTAGCCCATACATAAGCGTGCACTTTGCTGAGACATTCACATTATCGATCCAACCCGCGTCAAGGCTCGCAGTATCTGCACGTTCGAGGTCAAGTTTTGCTGGGGTCATGCAGTCTAGTAACCAATCAGTGCACTGCAAGATACGCAAGTTTATCACACTGGCAATCTGGGCCTTGGTATATATCGAGTTCTCCTCGTCGCTCGAACTTCCATGTTGCATCACCGGTGTGATGGGAAACCGAATAGGAAGCATTGATGACAATGCATTGTGCGGTAACGAGCTTCTGGAAATCTGAATAGATTGCCTGATAGCAACAAGTTTGCCTAAAGGAACAGATTTGTATTAACTACGTAAGGATTCCAACCCACGTGAGAACTATCATTTACATAGGCCTAACTTGCAAACGCTGAGGAGCCGTAAATCACTGATTTACAGTTTATCAAGGCTACTAGAGAGTCTAAAAAACGTGATCACTGAAGTCATTGATGTATGCTGTACCCTAATAAGACAATACGTGCACATTGAAAATAGCGATGTCTTATAAAGGCTTCTCGTTTTTATGCAGCGTAAGCAGTTTGAAACATTCATGGCACGCCACGGTCGCACTGATCATGTTGCCCAGTCTGGTTACACAATGTCAGTGAACAACACTTCCAGCTCGGAGAAGACACCAACATCCACATCCCAAGCTACAATCACTCCACATTCTATCCACTACTTGCGTGTATTTGAAGTGCGATGTGTGGGTAGTATCGTTAGTGTATTGTCTGATCGGTAATTTGGAATAATCATTCAACACAAAACTGCCCGGTGGAGGTACCCATTTGGAGAACTGAACTGAACCCAGTGGAGTGCACCAACCAGTAGGAGAATCTAACTGATCAGAAAAGGTGCATATTTCTGCCCCAGCTATAGTATGCACTTGTTCAGAGAGAGTACGCGTCAGACAGACTGACAGTATTCCGTGAAGTCCACCATATCTAACAATACTGACACATGAGAGACGTATGGTGCAGCTGTTAAGAGCTAGATCACATAGACCAAGTAGTTAGCGTGACCCATTGACAAAGCTTTCAGTCCCAATTAAGATCTCAGTTAATGCGTTCGGGTAACGACTCTTAACAAGGATGAAACAACTGCTCGATACGTTCGATGCTTTCCGGGAGAGAGTAACAAGCCGACGACAAATACACACCATTTCAGTTTGACTGAGACGACAACCGACTTAAGAATCTGAAACATGAATATATCCGCGAAACGTTTTATTCCAAACAGGTCAGAAACAAACAAAATCATGAAGTGAATGAACACCGGATAACAATTGCAAACACGTAGCAAACAAGCATTTGCCTACGAAGAATCACTGACACCAATTCGCCAATCCGGATGTTTGTTGCGAGAGATCAGGTGTTAGGCGAGCGCGGGTGGCGATTCGCGTATATTCGCGCGCGCACACATATCAGGCTTCCACGCCGAGCAATTTGAAGAACGCTTTCTTATTCGGTTCACGGCCGAGAAAATCACGGAGCATATCGATCGCATCCTTTGTTCCGCCCGGTTTGAGAATCTTTTCACGATATTCACGACCAACTGTAGGACTAAGACAACCGCCATCAGGAGCATGACGGAAACGGGATTCGTACAGATCTGCACTGTAAACAAGGCTCCACTAAAAATAGAAGAGACGTTGAAGTAGATGAATCAGACCGAATCGAAAACTGATAAAGATATTGTATACCAAACGAGATTCCTACACACAAACTGCGCGAGGGTGCACAGATTTAAGTTCAGTTTATAAAACCACGTTCAATCCCGAGTGATGGTTTTAGTTTTTGCCTCTGTTTTAGTTAGGAAGTAGACGGAAGAACTGAAATGCTGAAGCACTGTCCAGACGAATATAGAGAATTCAGGGGAGAAATTTCGACGATAGAGTGAAACCGTCTACGACACGCAGCCATATCACTCAGTGTCTCCAACGGACGATTACATTCAATCTGAAGTCCCCAACAGGGAGGCCAAACGCAACCCATATAGCCGAGTCCCTCGGTCAGGGTTTTCATGCCCTCATGCTGGGTCTTATTTTGACCAACCATGACCATTTTCTAAGCATTACCTACCGTGGAAAACACCACAGGCCGAGGAACCATCAAGCAACATGCACGGTAAGCTATTAAAGAAGACGAAATCAGACCCATTTTAGAAAGTGGTGCTAGTACTTGATGAATCCGAAGACGGATTAGGTCATTATGCGCAACGACACAAGTAGACGGGCAGTACCAATTGGAGTAGGCTTGTGATGAGTAACAAAATTCTAGATTAACCCCATAAAATTATCTAACGATGTTATGTGGTCGAGACACACATAACTTGCTTTTTCAAATCATTCAGTTTCCAACCACAGCTTATCTCGTAAGATGTAGCTGAGGCAGAATCAAGCATCTGCATGTGTTTGGACAAATCACGTGTACAGTGAAAGGTTCAGTTCCTGGTTGATCATGAAAATAGGATGGAAATTGTTCCGTTGACAATTTAGGTGAGATCTTTAGCCTAACCATTGGACCAAAGTTAATCGATGTTTTAAGGAGGTTGGTCTATAACAAGCAATGCAATTATTCTTTAAGGATACCTATTGTGTTTATCTAGGGCTGATATTTTGTGACCCGTAGAAGAAATACGAATATGCTACACACCGCAGTTTCGAGGTCATGATACTGATCCTCAATATTCCTGCAAAAACTCGAGCTCTATTTGTTGCTGTTGGTACATGAACACTAATCAAATGTTCTTTCAAAGATGTACGTGATAAATTACAACGGAATAGCTGACCATGTATCCGTAGTAACGTGCATCGTAACCACTGGCCAGATGTTGAAACGATGCCGGCATGCATGTTCCTGGAGTGGGATCGATTTCCACAATCCTTCGGCTCAATTCGACAAATACTTCTTGGGGATCATCCTGTAAAATTGAGAGGGAGAGGAAAAACGAAGTGAGGAAACGAGAAAGATAATTCCAATGGAACCATTGACAATCATTAATTATGCGTGCATGAACGAAAGCATATAGGAGATAAAGAGTAATCGGAAAAGTTGACATTTTGTAACAGGACTTCTCAGTGAAATGATCCAAAAAATAGTGAACACAAGTAAATCGAAAGTGAGCTCGGGATCACAATCATTTTATATTTTTTCAGGAATTTTTTATTACGGTAACGCGATCGATTGTAAATTAGGAGCAAATCGTAAAATGGCTAACTTTCGAATGCAACCTCTGTGAGATTCTTTTTCTCTTCTTCTTTTTTCTCTTACTTCCTTTTTATTGAATACACAAAGATACAATTTTCAGGAAAGGGAAGTGGCCAATCAAAGGGTTGCCATGGGGAAAGTCAGGCGGTGGTGGTGGGGTTCGAACACACGTCTCCTGAGGTGGTAATTTGGTGACGTTACCACCGGGCCACCGAGATGTGCGCCTTTAATTCAAGCCAGTTGATCGCTAACGTAAGACTAATTAGTTGAAATACCTTGATTACATGGAACAAAGACAAAATTTCAAATTGTGACTAGAGTCAAGAAAGGTAGATATTTCGCATCAAGTGCTCCGCTCACAAACAGGGTGGTGTTCTGACCTAACAAACATAGCTTCGATAAAAACACCTGTAACTTCCTGATCCGGTTTCAAAACTGTACTTAAAATAACCGGGCTAGGTCAACTCGATGGCCTGTTTGAAACGAGATTATTAGTGTTTGGGGAAAACCTAACTTTCTCCTGAGAATTCCCACGGCATCAACGGAAAATGGATTGGGACCAATCGTTTAGCAAACAGTCGCCCTATGCTTTTATTCATAAGTAGAATCCAAACAAATTGAATGTGCACAGAACCTCAATCGCATTGAGGAGCTCAGCTCTAAACACCGCTACTGAAGCTTATTACAAAGCATGTTACTCCGAGTTTCTAACCGGAATCATTAGGGCTTATATGTTTAGGTAAGGCACGTGCGAGGGAGAGTATGTGTATTGCATCCTACCCTTTGTTTTGTTAGATCCCTACTTCTAAAAGCCCACAAAGCCGAAGAAAGATCCACCTAATCGATTTACCACACTAAAACTAACAAGCAAGTATCAGATCACGATCAAAAACCTCACTGAGTAAAGCGAGGTAGCTAACAAGTCAAATGGAACACATTTCACTGAGCAACTGTCTTACTTTCCATCGATTCGTGTGGATAGCCTGATCAAACGCAGCCAACAAAAGTTGTCGAGCGTAAAATGTTCCCGCATTTGCATTACGAGATTTGAGCAATTTATCCATTTCATCCTTGGGCATCGAACTGGTCAGATTATCACCCAGTAATGCTTTCAAACCTTCTTCGGTCCATACCCAATTCTCAAGCATTTGGGATGGGCATTCGACGAAATCTGTTTCCACACGAGTACCACTAAATTCAGGATGGGACCCGGAGACAAGACGTAAGAATCCGAACAGTCATGATAAAGCATTTGAGCATCGTCGAACAGATCAAGGTTAGGAAGAAATTAAATCAACTGAGTTCACATTGATGCCATCAGCTGCGTAAACAACGATCGAAAACATCGAGAAGAAAAGAAAAACGGTTTGACGATACTAGCACAAAAAGACTGAAAGTAGTCATGTGCAATTATGCGCTGACTTTCACCAAATGTTGAACGTTTATTCCCTGCAACTCGAGTAACATAGCGGCCGGGTTCCAACAGTGATTTGTCGGATTGGTGGTAAAGAGAAAGGATACCGCGATACAGTAACAGATAATTCTAAAGAAAAACCTTTTCAATGCTGTTAAGTGGGTATGAGAAAACTGGACGGAAAGTGAACCAGGTGAAAGGCGGTTTGGTGCTTATTTGTATCAGTCTTGTGAAATATAAACATCCACACTCAAAGGAGCTGAGATTTTTTGCTCCCAGACATGATGAATTCTTCTCTTAAAAACGCGTATCAGCCATGGTAAGCACTGAACATGAGAACAATGCTGTATACTTCGCTGAAACTAGGAATGGGTTATAATCTCCGATGACCTCCATCAGAGTCGACCGGTCGGCTTGGCACGTGGAAGGATCTAACGGTCTGTAGAACTAATCCAGAGGGGAGCGAGTAAGAAGGCCTCGATGCTTCCATTGAGGTTCATTTGGTGAGAATGAGAAGGAAAGCAACAGCTTACTGGAGTGAATTCATGCATAAAAATCATAGATCATGTGAATAAAATCATTTTGTTAGACAATCAGCCAATTCAAGTTATGTGAAACGGAAGAATGAAAACGAATGCGTGTGTGTATTGTCTCCACTGGGTGATTACCAGAGCACAATAAATTTATCCTATGATGATGATTACGCACCCGATCGTTTTTAACGAAGAAGCGCAGACACATACCTAAGTGAATGCATTGTTCATACTATGAACAGGCGGCGGGGCGCAGCTTCTGAGGGAATCAATATAAAACGAGTTGTACAATATCAGAGGGATATGTCGTGCTGCGACGAACACGGATTTATTTTAATCACCCAGAATCAGTGGTAATAAAGATTTTTAAGGGTTGTGATGCGACGAGCAATCAACGGTAGCTGAAATAAGTCCAACATACCTGAAAAGAGCTAATTCGGATCGAGCACAAATCTGATGCATCAGATGACCGAATTCGTGGAAAAACGTTTCGACTTCGTCGTGCAGTAGATAGGCAGGTTCTTGCTCAGTCCCTGGACCAGTGAAGTTTGCAACCATTGCAGAAACGGCCACTTGGTGTTCAACATTGTTTTCACATTCACCAGAGGCACCGGAAATCTGACGTAAGCAACTCATTTGCAGATCGAACACGGCAGCATGGGAATACTTCCCTTCCCGAGGATGTAGATCCAAGTAGAAATAACCCAACAAAGTGTTGCTATCCGCATCGGTGACCGAATACTATGGAAAAATTCGATCAATATGTGAAAAGAAAATTTCTATAAAAACGCTGTTGAAATTAAGCCGGGTATAAAAACGATTGTTAATGGACTGCACCAGAGCGTTTCATTTAACATGGTATTGGAAAGTCTCGGAATAAAAGCGAAAGGGTAGATACGATTAAAATAAGAATCCCAGAATGCTAGTATGAATGATACGTCATGACCAGTTCGAGGTTTTGGCACCATGCATGACAGTAAAGTATGCAGCACAAGATGTGAACCCGAAAGACAAGAAGACTTAGTATGTTGTAGGCAAATATGAACATAGTTTGGCAGAACTATGAAATCGTACCTGAGTACCCACCAGGTGCACTCACTAACTGGTCAAATTGGTTTCATAGGATTGCATGCTAATTCACTTCATCTCGCGTGAGTTTTGCCGTTTCCTCGGAAGAGCAGAGCTTTATAGTACTGAGCACCTTCCCAGGCCACGGGTAGGGAAAAGAGAGTACATTCGCGACTAACCGTGCGTGAGCTTAGGTTCACTGAACAAGCGGTGGAAAAAGAACAGCGGCAGTGCTTGAGAATTCGGTAGATTTATTTCTTGGCAAGGATTTTCCGAACAAAACATCACATACATCTGTGGACAAAGCAATAACTTAGTGGATGTCACCTGCCATCGAATATGGAAATTGTCCCATTCCGAGTTCCACTTATTTAACAACGTCCTATAAATCCATAAGATACAAAAGACGTAACTTATTCTATTAGTCGACGTGAGGCAAAATTAGAAAATGGTAAGAGCACAGGTACCGAACATTTTGTAAAAAGGTTAAAGGACAAGCTATGCTGACCCCTTGAAAATATGCACAAAAAGAATTGTTTCAAATATGAGAGAATCAAGTTGGATACAAATACACCGGGTGTCGGAGCCATAGAACACTATCTGTTTATCATAACGCCGCATATATGCGCAGCAGAGTAAGTATTTGCAGAATAAGAACCCAGAAAACAGATAACCCTTAAACCTATCAATTATCAGAAAAGCCGAGACAAGGCAGATAAAGGCGGAACAAATGACAATACGGTCATCATAATCTAGATTTACCATTTCCACATCAGGGTGCCAAACATTAGTGGTTTCCACCTGAGCGAAAGTGAGACCCAGCAAATGTTGATAGAGGCGAAGCACTCCAGATTTGACAGCCTTGAGTGGAAAATATTTCTTGAGTTTCTGCTGATCGACTGCATAATCCTTTTCCTTCGCCAAATTCATATAATATCGGAAATCCCACGGTTCCAGACGGTCGACAAACGGTATGCCAAGCCGTTCACACTGAATGTATGGTAAAGGTGGAAACAATAGGACGTGACGAGATCTAGTCACGCTTACTAATAAACACGAAGAAGGCTAGGAGCACCTTAACGTTAGTTCAACATGTGCAGCCATGTAGAAGCAGTTCAGGAACACCCTGCAAACGCTAAATAGGCACGAAATAAGGGTCAAAAGCTCACTGAATATAGGGTGAAGTGAAGAGTCCACTGTTCGAACGCAGCTTGTGATGATGCACAAGCAGTCGGTTTGGAATCACCAACCAAGACGTTCAAACCACAAGCTTTCGGAAGCCTACGCATGGTCGGGGGTGGGTGTCTTGGGTTGTGGCTAATCACCCTTAGACCTCTGTACAACCAAGCGTCTCAAATAGGTTCTGCTGAGGAAATCCTGCTCACTGCCTTCCGGGTGGTGTTTGTACACCAAAGTGAGCGGACGAGAAGCGAAATCCGCGTCGGTGAACCACTGGCAGTTCACCTAGGGGGGTTGGCTAAAAACCCTGATCCCAAACCAACCAATAAGAGGCGTGCGAACCACGCACACACATTCCTGGTCGTGTTATTGGTCACCGGATCGATTGGGTATCGAGGTGCATTGAGCACTTTGGACGTTTGACCCCGTCCGAAGGGCATATGATCCGATGAACTGGNNNNACCAATAAATTGCAGTTTTGACACACTACCCCGATGCCTTGCGAGTCAGGTTTTGGCTAGCCGAAGCCCCCAATTATTTAGTCCCTAGGAGAATTGACATGCCTTGGTCCGGGCAACCTGCCACATGCAAATCATGGAACATTTTTCTTATTACAAAGATTATTGTGCTGTCACTTATTTGGCACAGAGTCTGGCATCA